GCTCAAAAAAGTGCTTCAAAAAAATTTCTTTAAGATATTTCAGACGGTTCATTGAAATGATACGTTAATACCACGTTTATTTATGTTTTATACAACTTTTAGACTTAATCCTTGTTTCGATGCAACGAGTCACGTGTACCATGAACTTGTCCCGACTCTGCAGGTGGAAATGAGCATTTCTTACTAGAACCTGGCACCGTGCGCCTCGTTTGAAGAGATGAGTTAAATGTTGTCCATTGTCTCTGTAAAATAAACTGTCCCTCTGTCGCTGCAGCGCCTCAGACCCATTGCACCATGGCAGATCCCGATCTTGACTTCACGACTGGTGAGTCTGGCGCCTCCGCCACGTACCCCATGCAGTGCTCCGCCCTGCGCAAGAACGGCTACGTGGTGCTGAAGGGACGTCCCTGCAAAATTGTGGAGATGTCCACCTCCAAGACCGGCAAGCACGGACATGCTAAGGTACCGTTAGCCTTTTACATCTGGACATGCTAAGGTACCATTAGCCTTTTACATCTGGACATGCTATGGTAACATTAGCCTTTTACATCTGGCTATGCTAAGGTAACATTAGCTTTTTAGATCTGGCTACGCTAAGGTAACATCAGCCTTTTACATCTGGACATGCTAAGGTACTGTTAGCCTTTTAGATCTGGCCATGCTAAGGTAACATTAGCCTTTTACATCTGGACATGCTAAGGTAACATTAGCTTTTTAGATCTGGCTACGCTAAGGTAACATTAGCCTTTTACATCTGGACATGCTAAGGTACTGTTAGCCTTTTAGATCTGGACATGCTAAGGTAACATTAGCCTTTTACATCTGGACTTGCTAGGGTAACATTAGCCTTTTACATCTGGACATGCTAGGGTAACATTAGCCGTTTAGATCTGGACATGCTAAGGTAACATTAGCCTTTTACATCTGGACATGCTAGGCTAACATTAGCCTTTTAGATCTGGACTTGCTAAGGTACTGTTAGCCTTTTAGATCTGGCCATGCTAAGGTAACATTAGCCTTTTACATCTGGACATTAATGTGCAAAAGTTTTAGACCTGCTCTTTTCTTGTTTTGCTTCTAAAACCTTTGGAAGGAAACTGATTATCTGACAGTTTGTACATTTTTGACTCTCCAAACTAAATAAACTGAAACTAGAGCTGCTTTTATTTCAACCAACAACATAATATTTCACCTGAAGGACACRTGAACTGTGTAACTCCAGAACAACAGTGTTCTTTACTAAGAGTTAAATTGTTTCTTGCAGGTGAACCTGGTTGGTATCGACATCTTCACCAACAAGAAGTATGAAGATATGTGCCCCTCCACCCACAACATGGATGTTCCTGCCATCAAGAGGACAGATTATCAGGTAAACACCTGGTCCAGACCCTGGAGTTACCTGAGCCACGTCAGGATGTTTGTTTCTGTAGTTTCCTCTGAAGCTGCAGGAAGTGTTCAGATCTAAACGTCTCATGTTTGTTTTTATTCTGCACAGATTTGTTACWCTGAGCTTTAAGACAGATGCTCAGAATAAATGACATCTTTATGGTAGTTTTATAAGACGGTGGAAAATGTTTCATTTCAGTCATATTTAAAAAATAAAAGGTTAAAATGTCTGTTCAGCTGCACCTGACTGACAGGTTTATTTCACCTGTGAGCTGTTGGTTCGGTTCTGTCTGTTCTGCATGTCAGTGCTGCAGCAGGTTCCAGGTCTATTTTTAACTCTTCGTGCTGCTGCGTCTCCAGTTAGCATCTTTAGCTGCAGAGGATTAGCTCACAGTGAGCGACGCCCAGAGTAAATACATGTGGTTTGATTGAGATCGGTTCATTTCTGCTCCTGAGCTCAGTTTAAGTCAGGACTGAAGAAACTAGGCTGAACAATGTGCAGCTAATGACTCAGCTCTGCAGCCTGAGGCTAACAGATTGATATTTTATATAAAATCAGTGTTAACTCAGGAAATACTTTGATCAGAATGTCAATTTTAGTTTCCAGGTTGTGCCTCACGTTTTAAATTTAGTTTATAGATTTAAAACCTGTTATTGTTTGAGTCAGACCTTATAAAAACCTCCAGGAGCTCAGAGACGTCTAGGTTTAATACTTCTGCACATAAATATTCATTGTTGAAACAGCTTTCTTCAAAGTCTGAAACTAGTTTTAGTTAAAAGTTCTGTTAAACTTAACGAGCATTCTCCTAATATTAGCTGATGTTTAGCTAACTTAAGCTTTTAGCTAATATTTATTTGTAAATTATCTGCTACTTTTAAATGAACTGTTTTGGTACATTCATCACTTAGCTACTGCTTCACTYCAAGCTTTTAATAGCTTGTAGCYACCTGTTTTGGTTTTAACAGCTGAMGTTTTTTTAGCCTTCACTCTGAATTTAAACAAAATGTTTTAGTTTAATTTTAATTGATTTATCTGGAGTGAATGTTTTATAAAGTAAAACCTTTCAGTTTTTCAGGCTGCTAATGCTAGTTAGCTTCAAAGTACACTTGTTTTCATTATTATTATTTATATATGATTTAATACATTTTTCTAACTGAAACTGTGCTTCTGAAAGTGTGAATGCATTACGACCAATCATACTTACAGGCAGACATACAGAGTTAGCAGCTGTTCAGCAGGGTAAACCGTGGCTATCGAGATAAAAGCTTCGGTCTTTAGCGAGGGTGAACGGCTGCTTGTCAAGCGCCATCGTTTCCATCGTTAGTGTTGAGATCTGTGTCCTCTCTGGCAATTTGTGTGGATTTGTCAAAAGCCTCAGCARTGAYTGAAGTCCCGATGAATTCTTGAACGCTAGCTTGTTGTTGTTAGCATTTTAGCAGACAGGCTTTGTCCTGCGTTCAGGAGTTATCAGACTTTACATGTTCTCAGATTGGGAGTAGTTGTTCTGATGTTTATAATTATGAAGTGTGTGTGTGACATACAGGGTTAAATGGTGAAATAAAATTAATTCTTAAAATGACTGTTTTTCAGCACACAGTATTCTAATTATTGTTCTAGTGAGTTTTTTTTTTTCTGACGCAACTCGAACGTTGCTCGGTTAGTGTCGGACAGGAAGTGGTTTGACCAAAACAGATAAAAATCAAGCAGCGCTGGCAAAAGTGTACATTTATTATTGATTCTGTTTGTTATGATATCGGGCCGATAACTATCGTTAACCCCTAATGCTAGCATTTAGTTTTTCAGGCTGCTGATGGTCGCGTGTTGTTTAAAGTTGCTAATGCTAACGTATTTTCAGGCTTGTAATGTGTTCATTTGCTAATGCTTACATGTTGTTTTCACTTGCTAATGCTAACGTGGTGTTTTCAGACTGCTAATGCTAACACGTTTTCAGTTGCTAATGGTACTGCATAGTTATTCAGGCTGCTAATGYTTATGTGCAAGTTTTCAGGCTGCTAATGCTAGCGTGTTGTTTACAGTTGATAATGCTAACATGTTTTCAGGCTTCTAATGTGTTCAGTTGCTAACGTTAACATGTTGATTTCAGGCTAACGTGGTGTTTTCAGGTTGCTAGTGCTACTGCGTAGTTTTTCAGGCTGCTAATATGTTTTCAGCTGCTAACGCTAACGTGTTGTTTCAGCTGGTTAACATCAATGAGAACTACATGTCCTTGATGAGTGACAACGGGGACATCAGAGAGGACCTGCGTGTTCCTGAGAGTGAAATCGGAAAGGAAATTGAGTCGAAGTTTGAAGCCAATGAGGAATTCATGGTGAGTGTTGAACTCTGAGCAGAAGTGATGATGATGATTTTAGGGGGGGATCTTCCTCCCCCCTCCCCCTGCAGGTCTAAGGTTTCAGATGATTGACTGCAACACGTTGCTCCCGCTGCCCGCAGGTCACCGTGATTTCTGCCATGGGGGAGGAATGTGCTGTCGCCACCAAGGTCTTGGCCAACAAATAAAGGAGATGGACTTTGCTGCCCAGGCAACAAGCCCCGCCCACAAACCAGTCTCTTTACATTCTCATTGGTTCAGTCACCAAAGCGTCGGCCTTCAGACAACATCCAATCATTCTGTTGTGATCTCTGTCCTGGATGATGTTTTTATTTCTCCCTCCTCTCTCCTCCCCCCTCCTCTCTCTCATCTCTTTTCTGTTGCTGTTGGGAATGTTCCACCTCTGCCTGATCTCTGAGTTTTTGTTTAAAACAATCGACTTTATATAAAAACGACTTCAAAAATACCTGCTCATTCCTGCTCACCTTTCTTTCAGTTCCTCACAGTGTTGCCACTCACATTCCTGAATGTTTCACAGCAGTCGTTCAGCTTTTGTATGATTATTTTTTATATTTAGATAGCAGCCTGTTGGGGGGAGGGGGTCCGGGGGGTTTAGAGGGAGGGGTTTGCCCCCCGTAGATTCTGGTTCTGGTTTAGGTGGTCCCTCTTTGCAGCCATACAGCTTCCCAGCATGGCCTTTTCTCCGGTTCCTGGTCCGGTTCTCCTAAATCACTTGGTGGAGGGGGGGGGGGCGAGCACTTAAAGCACCCGAGCCCCCCCAATCATGAAAAGTTGAGAAGAGAAACGCTTCTTTTTTTGTTTTCTCCTCTCCTCCCTACAAGAAGAGAAACCCAGCGGTCCTCTGACGGCTTGTCGTCTGTAAAAGTTTAAGGGGCGGGGTGGTCCGGTGGCCCCCCCGGCGTCCCCTCCCCCAGAATACAAAGAGTGTTATATTGTTTTTTTTTTTCCGAGGCGTGAGTGTGGAGCGGTGTGGGCCTCCGACATGTGGGGGGCAGTTTGCAGTGAGGTGTGTGATTTTATTTTCTGATTGGGAGGGGGGTTCAGTTACAAACTTTCTGTTCACTCGAGGCCTTTGTCACCTGACTGGAGAAGGCAAAAATAAAACAAGAATAYAAATGGAGAAAAACTGCAAAACTGTCTGGTTTTCTGTCTCTGAAACAACAAATACAGTCCTTAAAGCTGTTTCCTCAAACTGATTTTATTAAAAGAAAAGTTTAGAAATTAAATCAGGTGTTAACGGATCTTTGAAATTATAATTAAAATCTACATAACATTTAATAAAATTTTAAAACCTTCATTAATAGACTTCTGACTTGATGAATGTTGTTTACTCTTGGCAACAAATGGTTAAAGTGTCTGTGACATGCCTAACCGCCAAATATAAAAAGTCAAAACACATTTTTATGACWTTTCTATAAAAAAATATATTTTTATACAGTTTTTTAAAGTCTTAAATGTCTCAAATCAATCTATGAGGTCTTAATGTTAACACAAGTATGGTTATAATTCTCCATTAAAATAAATGGTAACTTATTTTTTTAAGTAATTTTCTGAATACCTCTGGGAGCTAGTTTTGTGTAAAAATAAACATTTGGCTAAAATTGTCACTGGGGTTTTATTTTTACACTTATTAAGTTAGTCTTAGATTTAATTTCAAGTGGCATTAAAGAAGTGGTTAACTTTAAAAMGAAAACTTGCATAAAACGTATTTATTCTCATAACTGGCATATTTTCTTTTGAACTTGGCTCAAAGTGCAACAGGAAGTGACATTAAAGGGGAACTCTTTAAGAAAGACAACTAGTCTGTTTATTGAAACAATATTTGAACTGACTCGTCTTCATCTCTGATAGACTCAATAATCTCTATAATCTGTCGTTAGCTGTTTTATCAGTGCTCTGCTCCAGCAGATATTCCCCTATGACATCACTTCCTGTTCCTTCACATGCAAATATCTCAACACCTGTTCATCTCAGCAGCGGGAAATTATTTTTGCAATTTATTAATGTTATCTTTCCAATAATGCCTTTATATTTATYGTAAAAATTTCATGTCACAGGCACTTTAAGCTCTGTTTAAGAAGTTTTAATGAGTTGAGAAGTATCTTTAAAATGTGCAAAGTTAACCAGTATTTATTGTCTGCATCTTCAATTTCAAAACAGACGTTTTGCAAAAAAATATTCCTTTATAAATGCGTGTTTAATGGGCAAAAATAAACTGAAGAAATGAGTGAAAATGAGCTTCTGGTTCCCAAAATACAAGATCCAAAAATGGCTTTTTTTTACATTATTTGTTGCAGTTACAGTAAAATGTWAAAATCTACAGAAAGGCCCAGAACCTGCCTTGAGGTGAACGTTTTTAAACKGTCTAACCAAACCTCAGTGTCTTGTCGTGGACCTCCACTTGAAGCGGGGACAACACCCTGCCTCTGCCTGGATGCCTCACACTCAAAGTGTGCTCGTGAATCACTCCTTCCTGCACAACTGGAAACATGGATGTGAGTTTCAGGAGGACGGCTGTGGTTTGTCTGACTCATCAGGAGGGATTTAGCTGAGGCCRTGATGAGGCCCCGGCTGAAGCTGTGTGTGTGTGGAGGCAGTCAATGATTGAACAGGCTCAGCAGGTTTATTATCAGGGTGTGTTTGAGCGCCAGTGGACCTTTGGACCTGCCTCATCTGTCAGCACAAAAACACAGGCTGGAACACTGAAATCCTCTGTTTTTAGGCTAAACAGCTTCATTTAAAGTACTTAATGTTAAACAACAATATGAAGTCTAAAATGAACAATTGGTTTATTAATAATGGATTTAAAACACCATGAGACTAAATATGAGAAATTCTTGCTCTTATTTGAACCGCCATCGCTTTGACCATATTTGGAAAGGCGTTTCATGGGGTGCGTCTTACGTCACTGCAGCGTCACGTCACGTTCTTTCTTTCCCGTCCGGTCTCTCAACATGGCGCCGGTAGGTTCTTTCGACTCCTGATGTTTTTACTGATAAACGTGGAGTTCTTGTTTGTTTTGTTCGTTTCAGTTATTTATTATAATCACCACAAAGCATCAGAGAGATAATAAACTACTGTAAATGAGTCTAAGTGGTTTTAAATGAAGAAACAGTTGTAATGAACGCACAAAGTTAGCATTAGCATGCACACGTGTCCCATTCATACCGGAGACCAGACTCCGTAGTAAAATTAATCAGTTTTAGGCCAAGATTGGAGTTTGTCTCTTTTTTTTAGGTGTTTTAATATAATTATTTGACGTYTAAAGAAAGTATATAACCCACTGTTCAATTCGGCTAATTATAAAGTGTAAGTTTGGCGACCTAAAGCTTAAAGTTTTAGCGTTTTCTGACTGACAGCTAACCAGATTAGCACATTTCCTCCGCTGGTTTACTGGAGTAAAACCATTTAATTTAAAGTAGTTGCATTTTAACTTAAAAAGTAAAAACTAAAACACTGATATTTGTAAGCATGTGTTTATCGGTCACATTAGAAATAACATGTTAATGCTTTAAGATTAGTCAATTTAAGAATTAAGTTACTTAAAAGGTTTTTGTTTTTTATGTAAACTGAAATTTTATTGGCTTATTTTCCCCTCTGCATTGAATAAAAGTTAATTCGCATGGTTAGCTGCACTGTAGAACACCAGCTTGGTTTCTTTGTACTTTAACACATTTCTAAAAATTTAAATTCCAGWTGAAACCAAGGAGAATGGTTGTTGGTAAAAAGTCTAAAAAGGCAGCTGCCTGGAAGTTCACCCTGGACCTGACCCACCCTGTGGAGGACGGGATCCTGGACTCTGCAAACTTTGTATGTCTGCTTTGACTCTTTATCTTTGCTCAGCATAAATAAAATGTTTATTTATTTTTGCAAGCATCTTACTGTGTGTGTGGACTAGGGCGCCCTTCCCTAGCTCCTGCTCAACTAGGGTTCCCTTCCCTAGTGCATCACTGTGCTCTGTCCCACAGGAAACCTTCCTCAAAGAGAGGATCAAGGTGAACGGGAAGACKGGGAACCTGGGCAGCGTCGTCCAGGTGGGCCGCATGAAGAACAAGATCAACGTCTCGTCTGARAAACAGTTCTCCAAACGGTGAGCTGCTGCGCCGCTCTGCTTTGACATAAATCACAGCAAACAGGTGGAGAAACTCTGKTTCTAACTGCATCTTTGGCTCCTGCAGGTATCTGAAGTACCTGACCAAGAAGTACCTGAAGAAGAACAACCTGAGGGACTGGCTGAGGGTGGTGGCATCTGATAAGGAGACGTACGAGCTGCGGTACTTCCAGATCAGTCAGGACGACGAGGAGTCTGAGGCAGATGAGTAAAAAGCTGCTCCAGAATAAACCTGAGAGAAAAACAAACATTTGTCCTGTTTTTATTGTTTCACCTTGTTGTTGATCAAACTTCTCTGATTTATGCAGCTTAAATATAAAAACCTGCCAGAGGATCAGAGCTGCTGTCTCACAGCTCTCAGTGGAGTTTAKATTTTCTCTGAGCACTCCTAACACTGACCTGATGGAGACATGTTTACACCTGGTTTCTTTCATGCAGTTCAATAAATGACCAAAAGGTGGCGCTGTACTGCTGAGTGATGGCAGTGGAATGAATTTATCAAAATGTTCCCAAAAAATAGAAAACAGCCAATAATTGATTCATAATTTAAAAAACAAACTCTAGCAGGTTTATAAAACAAACAAAACTGGTTTAATAAAGTTGGACACAAAGWAAATATGTGACAAAATTAGGAACTATTTTATTTTTCTTTATATAATTAAAAAGGATTATTTAAGCAGTCTCTTCAGTGTTTCTGGGTTCTGGCCTGGTTCCTGTTCTGTAATCTGTTCTTCATCATCTCAGGAATTTCTCCACCGTCTGCTGGAGGAGCAGAAAACAGACGTTCAGATGAAAACATGAACGTTTGCTTTGTTTCATTCTGCATGTTCGTTTCAAAACTTTAATGTAAAACTTTTCCTCCAAACTGAATAAATTAAAATATTTTCCAGCAGAAGCAAAAGGTGTTTGTGTGCAGGTAACTGTAATCTGACTCTGAGTATCAGATTACAGCAACACCTGCAGCAGGTTCAAYTGTTTCAGCCTGTTGGATGTTAAAGATTATTATACTCAACTTTATTCTGGTTTAAAGCAGCTGGAAGTAACAATTCTGTTAGTAAAGATTATTTAAGTAAAAATTCTTTTAGTAAAGATTCTGTTAGTAACGATTCTTTTAGTAAAGATTCTGTTTTTTTAGTAAAGATTCTGTTTTTTTAGTAACGATTCTGTTGAGAAAGCTTATTCACAAAGACAGCTGCTGGTTTTCACACTGAAGGTCAGACTGTGCAATGAGCTCCACCTCTACAGCCTCAGTCAGCAGGTCAAAGGTCATGACCTCGTCGCTCTAAAAACGGCAGGTTTACAAAGTTTCATCTGAAGGATCCACAAGAYTTCTGGACCAGAACCAGACCAGAGGACAGATGTTTACCCAGAATGCACTGCAGCTGTCAGCACGGAGGAGGAGGGCTGATGGTTTGATGAGGGGTCCAGGAAGTCCTCTGTGGACCAAAGAGTTCTGGAGTCTGAAACCCTGCAGAGACCAGAGTGGGTCAGAACCATGTGATAGACTGGGTTCTGCTGGACTGTAGTTTCTCTTCAAACAACTCAGTTTTACTGACTGACTGAACAAATAACCACCTGCTGGTCCCTCAGAACCTCCCAGCTGAGCTCTAACTGGATCCTGGCGTTCTGCTGGTCGGGTCGAGGTTCTGAATATTTCATCGGGTCACATGGTGTCAGCTGACAGAAGCAGCGCTGTCGGCTCAGACTCACCTGTACCTGCAGCTCAGCAGAGGAGCGCCGCCTCAGACCCTGCTTCAGGAAACAGCTGGGAGCTGCTTCTGCCTGCAGGTTAGATGTTTTCTACTCATAATGATGAAAGTCTCTGAGCTCTGCAGGGTTTGAGATGTTCAGGAGCTGTTTGACGTGCAGCAGCAGAACTTCTTCAGCCTTTTCCTTCCATGGTTGTAGTTTTCCTCTGAAAACTGATCCTGAGTCAGCATTAATGATTCAGGAGCYCAGCTTTGCTCTAGTGACCGAGAACAGCTGATCAGATCACCTGAACCGGACCAGCTGAGTCCTGAGTCCTGGTGCTCTGAATCCTGGGAGCTCATTGGACTGCTGAAGGAGACCAAGACCATGAAGGTCCCTCTGACTGAGATCCTGTGTAGAACCAGGTCTCTGCTGATCTGGCCTTGATGTAAGCCTCTCCTTAGGAAAAAAAAAAAAAAACACCTTGAAAGACTCAGACTACAGGACCAAGATCCTCTGGTCTGAAGAAACCAGGACAATCACCAACATCACCTCCACAGTGAAGCACGGCGGCGGCAGCGTCATGATGTGGGAGTGTTTTTAGTTTTCTAACAGATTTACAAAGGTGTGTAACTTTTGTTTTCTTCGTCATCATGTGGGTCAGGTGTAGAATAATGAGACTTTTAGGACGACAGGTTACTGAGGTCCAGAAGTCCAGACCCACCACCCTGGTAACTGCAGGTCTGAAGACTCTGGACCCTCGTTAAAAGCCCAGCTTTAGTGAGGAGCTCAAAAAGATGATCGTTCAGAAAGGGAAGCAGAGTTTCTGTCAGAGTCTTGTGGTTCCACAGAAGGGTGGGGTCTTGTTGGGGTCTCGTTGTGTCCTCTGGGACTCATTTCTTCATCCTAAAATGAAACCAGCTCAAGAATGTGGTTCTGGTTCAGTAAACAGCAGCAGAACTCTGACTCTGATGGTGAAGCAGTGAAGCGACCAATCATAGCTCAGCTTGTGTTAACAAAGCGGGGGTCTGTGCCCCCTGTCCTGGTGGCGAGGGTCTGTGCCCCCTGTCTTGGTGATGAGGGTCTGTGCTCCTGTCCTGGTGGCGGGGGTCTGTGCCCCTGTCTTGGTGATGAGGGTCTGTGCTCCTGTCCTGGTGGTGGAGGTCTGTGCCCCTGTCCTGGTGGCGGGGGTCTGTGCCCCTGTCTTGGTGACGAGGGTCTGTGCTCCTGTCCTGGTGGTGGGGGTCTGTGCCCCTGTCCTGGTGGCGGGGGTCTGTGCTCCTGTCTTGGTGACGAGGGTCTGTGCTCCTGTCCTGGTGGCGGGGGTCTGTGCCCCTGTCCTGGTGGCGGGGGTCTGTGCCCCTGTCCTGGTGGCGAAGGTCTGTGCCCCTGTCCTGGTGGCGGGGGTCTGTGCCCCTGTCCTGGTGGCGGGGGTCTGTGCCCCTGTCCTGGCGATGGAGGTTTGTGTCCCCGGTCCTGGTGGCGAGGGTCTGTGCCCCTGTCCTGGTGGCGGGGGTCTGTGCCCCTGTCCTGGCGATGGAGGTTTGTGTCCCTGGTCCTGGTGGCGAGGGTCTGTGCCCCTGTCCTGGCGATGGAGGTCTGTGTCCCCAGTCCTGGTGGCGAGGGTCTGTGTCCCCGGTCCTGGCGGCGGGGCGTCTGTGCCGCTTGTCCTGGCAAGACCTGCCAGTTTGTGCCAACATGAAAATCTGTTTCCTGATGTTTGTTTTTGTGTTTTCACAGTTTCTTCGTCTGGGTTCTGMTTTCATGAAGCAAACAGGAAGCAGATAGGAGGCAGCTCCGGTGAGGCTGATGTAAATGACCCGCAGAGCTCGTTAACATAAGCAGGTGATCACCAGGTAAGACCATGGGGGCGTGGCTGGGTCGGGTGTCTCTGGGCGACGCCTGGTACAACATGTACTCCCGCCTGCTGAGGACCAAACCGGTGGGCTCCATGGCTCATGGCTCAGATGACCTCACCGAGCTGCCGGAGGGCCACCATGCCGGCCTCGCCAAGGTCCTGACCACGGTGGACCTGGTGTCGCTTGGGGTGGGCAGCTGCGTTGGAACGGGGATGTACGTGGTCGCAGGGCTGGTTGCCAAAGCGATGGCGGGGCCGGGGGTCATCCTGTCCTTCATCATTGCAGCCGTGGCATCGATACTGTCAGGTAAAACCTCTGAGGGTCTTTAAAGTCCAGATGTATGAGGTGTTAATTGTTGAACGTGCTTCCTGTAAGGTGTGTGCTACGCTGAGTTTGGTGTCCGGGTCCCGAAAACCACCGGGTCTGCGTACACCTACAGCTACGTAACCGTGGGCGAGTTTGTGGCGTTCTTCATCGGGTGGAACCTGATCCTGGAGTACCTGATTGGCACAGCGGCAGGGGCGTCGGCTCTCAGCAACATGTTCGACTCTCTGGCCAATCACAGCATCAGTAACTACATGATTACCCACCTTGGCACGCTCAGAGGGCTCGGTCAGTGAGAGCAAAACTCAAACATTGATTTATTTTTATAACTCTTCTGTTTCTGTTTTCATCAGAGTAAACGTGTCTTTGTTAAAGTTTAGAAGTGTCTCTGTTGTCTCAGGTAAAGGTGAGGACACGTACCCAGACTTATTAGCCCTCTTCATTGCCCTGCTGGTCACAGTGATCATTGCTCTGGGTGTGAAGAACTCAGTGAAGTTCAATAACATTCTTAATGTGGTCAACCTGGTGGTGTGGGTCTTCATCATCATCGCCGGACTCTTCTTCCTGTCAGTCAGCAACTGGAAGGGAGGCCAGTTTCTGCCATATGGCTGGTCAGGGGTGAGTCTACATGGTTTGTTGGTGGGTTGATGTTGGTTGGTTGGTTGTTTGTGAGTTTATGGTTGGTGAGTGGATTGTTGGTTGATAGTTGGTGGGTTGATGGTTGGTGGGTGGGTTGATTATTCGTTGGTTGGTTGGTTGATTGGTTGGTTAGTTGTTGATGAGTTGATGGTTAGTTGGTTGATGATGGGTGAGTTGATGGTTGGTGAGTTAATGGTTGATGGTTGGTGAGTTGATGGTTGGTTGGTTGACTGTTGGTGAGTTGTTGGTTAGTTGGTTGACTGCTGGTTGGTTGGTTGGTTGGTTGGTTGGTTGACTGTTGGTGAGTTGATGGTTGGTTGATTGGTTGGTTGGTTGGTTGGTTGGTTGATGAGTTGATTGTTGGTTTGTTGATGATTGTTGAGTTGATGATTGGTTGGTGAGTTAATGGTTGGTTGATGGTTGTTGAGTTGATGGTTGGTTGGTGAGTTGATGATTGATTGGTTGATGGTTGTTGAGCTGATTGTTGGTTGATAGATGGACCTACTGTTTGTGTTCAGGTGATGCAGGGTGCAGCAACGTGTTTTTACGCTTTTATTGGATTTGACATCATAGCGACAACAGGAGAGGAGGCCAAAAACCCAAACACCTCCATCCCTTATGCCATCACTGTGTCTCTGGTCACCTGCCTTACCGCCTATGTGTCAGTGAGTACCGAGTAAAAGATGTTTAAAAGACACTTTGTGTCTTATTAGAGGCAAACTTGATTGATGTTTAATGTGACATCAGACAAAAAACATGTAAAGACTTTTACTACAAGAGTTGTCTAGATTTACTCTTTAAAGGTATGTTGACGTTCATGGATTTCAGTCTCTTAAGTCTTGTTCTTAGTGTTGGTTTTGATAACTGTAGGTCTTGACCTTTGTCTAAAGCCCTCAAAAACTTGGATTTGTCTAGAGATTCTAGTCTTGACTCAGTCTGAGGTTAGGTCTTTGTGACCGTAACACACATTCACATCAGTCCACCTCTTTGGCACCAACAGGTGAGCGTGATCCTTACCCTCATGGTTCCCTACAACCTGATCGATGGCTCCGCTCCTCTCATGGAGATGTTTGCTGTTCATGGTTTCATGTGGGGGAAGTACACCGTGGCTGTTGGCTCCATAGCTGGACTCACCGTCTCCCTGCTGGGCTCCCTGTTCCCCATGCCCAGGGTCATCTATGCTATGGCTCGGGACGGACTGCTGTTCAGGTCAGGAAACAGGAAATAGGAACAAAGGCCAAAATTTTTCTGGACCTTTTAATGTTTCATTAGAGTCGTTCTTTTCCAGGCTTTCCGGGCAAGTTATTTGTTTACTTATCAAAGCCCCAGATTAACCTGCTCATGAGGAAAACTTCCTCTCTGTTTGTGTATTTGAAGGTTCCTGACACACGTGTCGGCGCTCACACACACTCCTGCCGTGGCGTGTGTGGTGTCAGGAAGTTTGGCGGCCATCCTGGCTCTCCTGGTGAGCCTCAGGGACCTGATTGAGATGATGTCCATTGGCACGCTCCTGGCCTACACTCTGGTCAGCGTGTGCGTCCTGTTACTGCGCTACCAGCCTGACCAACAGACCGACACACACCAGTTCCACTCAGAGGACCACGAGGACTACCTGAAGGACGGTGAGCCCACCAAAGACGACCACGATCTGATGGGAGGGGGCGATCACGACGGGTCTTCCTATCATGGTGGAGGAACAGAAGGGGAGGCAGACGACTCAGAATTCCACACAGKCCACGCCCCCCTGCTGAAAAGGCTTCTGGGAGGTCATTACTACACCCTGAGAGTCCGACTTGGAATGCCAGATTCGTCAGCACGTCCCACCCCTGCTACCGGTCGTATAGTGACCCAATGCACCCTCTCCTTCTTCTTCATGTCCTTCTTCCTGTGGTCCACCATCATATTTGGAGTTGAGCAGGGCTCAGGGGTGGGCGCGGCGTTTTCAGGTCTGATGGCCACAGTGATAATGGGATCGTTGGCGAAGCTTTTGATTCTGATCTTACAGCAGCCTGAGAGCAAACAGAGACTACCCTTCATGGCGCCGTGTGTGCCCTTTGTTCCTGCAGCGGCCATATTGGTCAACAGCTACCTCATGCTGAAGCTGTCTTCTCTCACCTGGGCCAGGTTCACCATATGGTGCCTCATAGGTGAGTCGAAACACAGGAAATACAAAGAATCACAGTCAGCTCTTATTGACCTTGTGTCAGAGACCTGTAAGACTTAGCAGAGGTCTATCAACSAGATGTCTCTACCCGTGTCCTTCTGATTCTGGTTCTCTGTTCCTGTCTCAGGTCTGTTGATCTACTGTTGTTACGGAGTTTGGCACAGCACGCTGGAGCTGAGCGCCCGTGAGGAGCAGGCCCATGCCAGCTCCTACCGGCGCTACGACGACAACTTGGACGACACCTTCTCCCCCGACGACGACCTTTACCCCCAGGACCGGGACGACGGACCCTACCAGGGCTGGTCTGCGCCGGAGGAGAAGGGTTATCGGCATCAGAACCAGAATGAGGACCGAGAAGAAGAGCAGGAGCAAAGTCGGTTCGAGGAGGAAGGAGACCAGTATGGGTACCAGTCTGGAGCAGGAGTCCAGTATCCAGAGGGAGGCAGCAGGTCCAAGGGAAGGACCAATCTTGGGTTTGATGATGAAGATGACTGAAAACTTTCCTCCAAAGAACTACGTCTAAAATCAGGCGGAGTGGGTCAAACCTCTGGATTTTGTATAAAATGACGCCAGATTTAACAGATGATTTAGAGAAAAAGTGAACATTTCCTGTTTTTCTGATTGTGTAGTGAGTATTCAGTGTTGATGTGTGTACACGAGAAAACATGTTTATGATTAAATGTCATCTAAAGAATCCAGCTGAGGCGCATTTTGTGGAGTCAAAATATATTTTTATTCTTTTGATTCTCTAGCTAAAAACTGCAGCAATGAGCCGCAGAAAGATTTAAAAAGTGTTTTTATCATGCAAGAAAAGGAAAATCTAAAAATACAAGAAGGTACCTGTTAGTTTAAAAAAATAATTATTCAAAACACAAAAAGAAAACAATTTTACTCTGAAGGCCAGACATCAAACTCAGATTTAAACTTTATTTTCTTTAGGAAAAAAACTAGTTCCTAAAGTTTTTATTTGTTATATTTTGATTGTTTTATTGGCAGAAATAAATCACAATTTATATTACACAATCAGACAGAAATAAGGTTTGTARCATATTTATTTGTGAGTCATTTATCTAAAAATACTAATAAATCAAACTCAAGAGATTCATTTTTTTCTTTTAGTTTGTTGCAATCTGCAGATTCACCACTAGATGTCACTAAATCGTCTGTTAGGAAATAGTACGACTAATCAAAGCAGCRGTTAATTTGAAGTTTACAAAAGAGAAAGAAAGGTAAATTCTTTCTAATGTTTAGGTTATCTAGTAGTAAAAAAAACGGGGTTTAAGGAAACTGGGAAACTCAGACTCTTTCGCTCTTGGCGTGGTTGGAGGGCCGGTCCAGAGCCGTGGTCGTGTTCCCCCGTCTGGAGTAGAAGAAGCTGTTCTCTCTGGACGGGATGCCGACGCTGCCAACCTGACAGCACAGGATCACGAACCCCCCCAGGGCACAGAGTCCGGCTCCGATCCAGCCGGCATACAGAGAGAAGCCAAAGGACATCAGATGTTCCTCTTGGTGAGCACCGATGGGGAACCAGATGGTGGCGATGATGCCAAAGACAGCTGGAACAAAGGAAAACACAACAAATGAACCCCTGACAGCTGGAGGATGCTGACAGGAAGTACCTGTCAGGAAACAGAGCAGCTGAACCATGACCCTCCCTCCTCCCACACCTGGAAGAACCTTTACAGTTAACCATGTTCTCTAAGAGTAACACTGCTTCTGCTGCTGGTAACTCTGACCATTTACACTTCACTAACTGCCAGTTTAGGCTCAGTTTGAGCTAAAAACATAAAAGAAATGTTTCAGCTAACAGTTTGAGCTAACAACTAGTTTGAGCTAAGTGAAGCTGTTGTATTAAAACAACTTTAATCTCAAACTGGTTTATATCGTCATCAGTTTAGCAAATTATGGTTATTTACTATAGAGTTAAATAAAAACTATAGTTTTTTATTATTTACATAAAACTGGCTGATTGCGAGTATAAACAACAGCAGGTGTAGTATCAGTAGCTAGCTTTGTTACTGCAGTAAAACCAATATATTTCTGCTGAAATAACTGATACCTGATAAATGAATTAAAGTGATGATAATAGGGAAGTTTGTGAAAACATTATTTATGTAAAACACTATAAAGACTGAGGTTATTTTCAGTGTTTTGTCCTCTCAGGCTAGCTAACATTAGCTTATCTTAAAACAACTCCAAACTCTTAAAAACATTTAAAGCACATTTAGTGGTACTGCCTCCTCACCCATGATGCAGACCAGRACTCCGCCCACTTTGGCGCGGCACTTCTTGATGGCGGAGGAGTCGTTGGGGAGGCGGACGCAGGGCATGGACATGAGGATGAGGAGCATGGCGGGCAGACCCAGCAGACAGGCCAAGACCATCAGAGCCCGGGACGTCTGGATGTAGGCTGAGAGACACCAAACATCTGTCAGAGACATTTCCCCGCTCTACCAACATCTGGACCAAACATCTGGACCAAACATCTGGTCCAAACATCTGTCAGAGACATTTCCCCANCATCTGGACCAAACACTTGAACCAAACATCTGGACCAAACATCTGGACCTGACTGTCAGGTGACACCTCCACACTTGGACTGAATTCCTTCTGAAATGTGTTTCAGCTGAATGTCTTTGAACCAAACACACCTGAACCTGTGACTCCACAAGGTCTGGATCCAAAAGACTAAAACAAGTAAAGCTAGACCCTGATCCACTGATCCAGACGGTCCTGTGGGCCGGATCCACAGCAGTGTTATCAGAGTTCACTAAAACGAACTAAATAACAAAAACTGAAATTGAAAAAAACATTTTAGTTAACTCAAATAAATAAAAACTGTAATAAAATAAAACAACAACTAAAACTGTATAATCTTTTTACATAACTAACTGAATATTCTTAGTTTTAGTGTTTGTCACTTTATTTTGAGGCGTGGATCTTTTTGAAGTAGTTTCACATCAGCTGTGGTTTGTAACACTTGTTTAC